TCCTTTTTCTCTTTTTTTTTGAGACATGGTTTCTCTAACTTTGGGGCCTGTCCTGGAGCTCTTGTCTACTAGCTCTTGTAGTTGGCCTCAAACGCATAGAGATCTGTCTGTCTCTGCTTTCTGAGAGGCAGAGTTGGCTCAGTTTTAGTTGGTATCCATGGGACCATGGATCTTTAGCTCATGTTGAGAATAACAGAGGCAAGAGTTTGAGTCACTCATCTCACACAGAATCTGCTGTATTCTGTAGTATTTGTTGCTGCAAAAAGGCACATGACCACGGCAACTTTTCTAGAGGAAACATTTAATTGGGGTGGATTACAGTTCAGGGGTTCAATTCATTATCATCACTGCAGGAAGCAGGATAGCATGCAGGCAGACATGGTGCTGGAGAGGGAAATAAGAGTCCTACATCTTCTTGCAGGCAATACGAAGTCAGTTGAGACATCAAAGCCCACCTCCACAGTGACATACTTCCTCCAACAAGACCACTCCACTCCAAAAAGGTTTCAGTTTCTAATAGTGCCAATTCCTTTGGGGGCCATTTTCTTTCAGGTCACCAAATCTGCTGACTTAAGAGTTTCCTTCAGTTTGTCTTCTGTGAAATCAAATATATCTTGAGTTTATGTTACGGTTAGTGCCATGCATGTGGAAAGTTCCCATTGATATGTTGACATTAAGAAAACACAGGACTGTTTTCCTCACAGAATGTGTAATATATTTCCACATGTTTCTTTTTGTAAACTTAGGAGCAGTACTTTTCCCTAAGACCTGATTTGAAGACCAAAAGCTTTGGAAACATCAGTGAGCGTGTTGAATTGAGGAAGAAACTGGGCTGTCAATCATTCAAATGGTATTTGGACAATATTTACCCTGAGATGCAAATACCTGGTCCAAATGCCAAACCTCAGCAGCCCATCTTCATCAACAGAGGGCCCAAGCGTCCCAGAGTCCTTCTGCGCGGACGGGTGAGACAGCAGTCCTGTCTGAGGGTTTTGTTGGGAGGCGTGTAGCAGGCAGTTTTCTTGAGGTTCTGTGATAAACCATCTAGATTTAAGTATATTCTTTTGGGGATTTCCCCCTACTCAAGTAGAAAAGCTTGAAAATTTTTGTGTTTGCTGTTTACATCCAGGTCAAGATGTACTTACTGTGTTGGAGGGACTGGGACCTTATGTAGCTTATGTATTAGCTTCCAAGAGTAGAGACACAATGGGGACAAAGGCAGTGTGAGACCTGAAATGGTTCCTCAGAGGGAGACAGATGAGCGGCAAAACGCAGCAGTGGTTACTGTTCAGTTTGTTCAAGGAACCCACTTGAGACAGATTGAAGGTGACAGTTAAGTTGGTGTGACATGCGGTGAACTTCACACCCAGTGACTGGTGGTCGTCAGAGCTTAGCAGAGAGAGGCACACGGTAGACCCTTTCTCATTGCGCTCACAGCTTTTGGGGTCTGCTCTTCTGAGTAATCTCTAAAACTGGCATTTTGGATGCTGGGGAGATGGCTTAGTTGATAAAGCACTTTGCAACTCAGAGTGAGGATTTGAGTTTGGAGCCTTAAAACTCTACCATGAAGACCCTGGGCAGTTGGTGATCCACATGTAATTCCAGTGCTTGGAAGGCAGACAGGATCCTTGGAGCAAGCTCATTGAGCTCTGGTTTATTTGAGAGACCCTGTGCCACAGTGAACAAGGGAGAAAGCTCTTTCATACAAACTTGCACATATACAGGTGTGCCTGCCCACTCCTGTGCATACCCCCCACACTGACAGGAAGTTGTTCAGACTCCTAAGGCACATCTCCCAGCTTTTTGTATTAAATTGAGCCTAGTACTTTTCTCCTTGTTTACTTTATACAACCCCAAAACAACCACCAAGGTGTTTATTGGGTCTTTTCTTAAGTAAAAAAAATTAAGTATTTTGTGTCCATGTAGTTGAAATCCCTTCCAGCATAATTCTTGGTCTGTGTTACTGTTGGAAGGTCTTGGTGGTTCGGTACTTCCGAGTCAGCATAAACATAGTGTACTTTAAAAAAAAAGAAAGGTCAGACAGGGTTTTGTTGTGTAGCACAGGTTGGCCTCAAATTTATGATCCTCCTGCTTCAGCTCCATGAGTGCTGGGATTATAGGCCTAAGTCACCAGGCCTGGCTTCATCTTAGCTCCTAGGTTCTTACTTGGAAGAGTATTTCTCATGCCAAGCACACATCCCTCAGGCACCAAGTTGTCTGCATAGGCGTCCTCAAGAACACCGTTCTCTTTTGCAGCTCTACCACTTGCAGACCAACAAATGCCTGGTAGCCCAGGGCCGCTCCAGCCAGAAAGGAGGCCTGGTGCTGCTTAAGGCCTGTGACTATGGAGACCCGACTCAGGTGGGTGACGCAGAAGGAAAGCACATGTGGGCAGATGCAGACCATCAGACTTCTCTTAAGTGACTCTAGAGATCATTTAAAATAACTGCTCTGTCTTCTCTGTTTCTCTGCCTCTCATCATTGCTTGTCAATTGTTTAGACCTTTGTGCTTTTTACTGTGGTAGGGGCGTGCTGTTCTTCAAACTTTAAGTCCTCAGTAGAGGAGCGTCAGATTTTTCTGACCAATTTTTACAGCTCATTAGAGGACATCTCAACAGAATTTTGGTTTACTCCATCTACTTAATTCCAGTTAGTTTGTCTTTTCAATATTAAATATTAAAATGTAAGCAAATAGCATTTCAGTTTGTTACTGTAAGTTCAGGCTTGTTATTTGACGGCACAACCTAAAGTGATTTAAATTCCCAGTTGTCAGGACTGCCCGTGTTGACGGTCGCTCATTTCATTGGTGCACTGCTATCACACAGGGATGGGAGAAACACCTGGGTCTTTTGATAAATGGGATGTATACTTGGACATTTCTAGAACATACTGCCTTAAAAAAACAAAGCATCAATTTATTATGTGAGTGCACACATGGTGGTAAGAGGACAAGTTGCAGCAGTCAGTGCTCTTCTCTGATCACGTGGGGACAGGAATGGAACTTAGGTCATCGGGCTTGGCAGCAGGCGCCTTTTCTCCACTTGCCCAAGGTAAATGGTTTGAAATGATGTAGCCATGCAGGATTACGCTGATATATAGCTACTTCTAATCAAAGCCTAATAAACAGTGCACTTCCTCAGTCATACTGGCTTCAAGCGGCCAGTACAGGATTCAACCAGGGCTTGCTTTCTAGTCCCTGGTGGAGTTCCTTTTGTGATGGCACCTGTGGGAATTTTCTCACTGCATCTGTATTCATCCTGTTTGAGGCCTGGGCCAGAAACCAAGATTATGTGCATCCACACCCAAAGGGAACCCCGCTTCAGGTTGGCTGGCCCAGGTCTCACAGCAGACATTGTGAGCTGGAATTGGGGTGTGATATTTGCAGAAGGGCTGGACTGGAACAGCTTATGCACATCATCCAGCAGATGAGGACTGTGGTAATAATCTGCTTTACAGGTCTCTGAATTAAGGAAACTGGAAATGATTTACAGTGACACAATCACTTTTATTCAGTTAAATCAACAGTCCCCAGTGACTGAGACATCTTTTGGCCTCCCTCATCTCCCAGTTCATTGTTTCGAATAGTTGAGGGAGTGCTCTGACCATTGTACCTGCTGGGAAGACCACGAAGAGCACATTGTGAAGTATTATCCAGGCCCTCATTCAGTACCTAAAGCAACAAGTGTCGTTTTTTTTTTAAAATCTCTTTTGTTTGTTTTTATCACTAGATCTGGATTTATAATGAAGAGCATGAGTTGATTTTGAACAACCTCCTTTGCCTCGATATGTCAGAAACTCGCTCTTCAGACCCACCTCGACTCATGAAGTGCCATGGGTCAGGAGGATCTCAGCAGTGGACCTTTGGGGTGAGGCTCTTGCTTATAAACATGGGCTTTAACTAGTCCTAATGGTTCGACATCTTTTCTGCATGCTGCAGGAATGTTTTTAAATAAAAAGTCCTTTTTTCTTTTTTCCAGAAAAACAATAGGCTATACCAAGTGTCTGTTGGACAGTGCCTAAAAGTGGTAGACCCGACGGATCAGAAGGGCTCTGTTGGCATGGCCATCTGTGATGGCTCCTCCTCCCAACAGTGGCGCCTACAAGGTTAAGGTGGGCCCTGGATGGAGACAACATAATTTGCCAGGTTTTGTCATACCTGCTATAAATCAAGGTGCTTTATGAAGGATGCTGCAGACCCCAGCAGACAAGAACCTTGGTAGAAGGTTACCATCACAGGAACAGAAGGTGCTTCACTGGGACTTGGGTTATTTCTGAGCTGCTGCTAAGGGATTCTTGTTTATCCAGGGAAAACAAAATAAATATCAGGATTTGGGTCTATTAGTACAAACCCAGGAAGCAGACATTTGTATTTATTTACGTTTCTCTCATTCTCCTTTGGAGAGGGAACGGTTTCTGTCTAATCAGGAACTTGTTACAATTTCCTTTCATAGAGGACTTCATAGGAGATTTTTTTTTTAACTATCATTTGTTTAATATTTCTAATAGATTTTAAAACTGGTTGAATGCATATTACTTTTAGCTTCAGAAGGTATCATGTATATTTAAGAGGCATTTAACTACTATAAATTATTTTAATGTCTACATTAAATAAAGGATCTTTTTGATCATTTAACTATGATTTATGTCTCTTCCATTATATGGAAGTTTCTGTTCTGTCTGGTCCTGCAGATGTTCAGCCCCAAAGAAACACAGAGGCTTATATTAATTAATAAACCATTTGGCCTATTAGCTCAGGCTTATTACTAACTAGCTCTTATAATATAAATTAACTCATTCTAATCTATGTTTAGCCACATGGCTTGGTACCTTTTCTCATTAAGCCATTCTCATC